AGAAGACCACCCTCACTCTGCCAATCAGCTCTCAGCCCAAAGTGTCAAAGAGTAACTCATTCTTACAGCTTAGCAAAAGATAACATGTTTCATGAAAGAGCTCTGTGTTGTGCTCTGAGTTGAGTAGAAATGGTTACTTTTACAAAACTCTTTCCAAACTTACGTACCCCAGCTTTACAGTCAGGGCAGTCGCTTCATAAACCGCTCGCTCTCTTGCGTGCAAACCGTCACCCCGGAGCTTTCAGACTGGGGAGACGTGGTGGTGTACTTCTAAACCAAAGATTCTGTGATATGAGTCTCCAGGTGCTGCTAACGCTCTCGCACCCACAGACTCTTGGGCTCTTCCAACATGGCGTCTGCTCGCTGTGCGGTCAGGACAGTTACACACACACATGCTTTCACACGAGTCCAGACCCTGATCGTGAGAGCCAGGTCTACAAACCTGCACTGTGGACTGAAAGGGTAGATGTTTTTTTTTTTATATATTACACTTTACACTCACTTATCTTGTATTGCGTGCTCCTCATTCCTTTTGTTCTGCACTGGAATTTCCCTACTGTGGGACAAATAAAGGCTCTCTTCATCTTCATAGACTGTTTAACACATAGTGATAGTACTTTCTATGAATTCTATGCTTTTGAAACGTCCCTCAAAGCTGTAATTATGATCAGATTTGAATTAATAGTTTTATGTCAGTTTTGGATGTTGAAAATTCAATTCATTTATAACAGTGGCCTTACTCAACTTCTAAACCTTAAGATGACGTCGTAAAGTGTGAGTAGAAATTGTTTGAAATGCAAAAATGTAAGTTTGATCATGCACATGCAGTGGGGAAATCTCAGTGATGTATCCCAAGTTACAGAACAGTAGAAATGAGGCGCACCCAACACAATATAAGTCAATATCAAGAAATACTGTAATACAAAAAATATCATCATTCTGCAATAACTCTTCTCCTCATAGTTAAAACAAAGTGGGTTCATTCCAAAGCATGCAAATGTTGAAAATCATTTAATTTTTGTCTTGCATTGTTCCTTATTTAAACAGAACGTTAATGCAACTGGAGGCTTTGGCTGCATCCAACTTCATTTAAAATACCCTCTTCCTTTGTAATGTGCTTTTAATGCCATAAATCCATTGTGGCACAGTGGTTAGCGCTTGTGCGTCACAGTAAGAAGACCCTGGTTTCGATTCCACCTCCTGTCGGGGCCTTTCTGTGTGCATGTTCTCCCTGCGTCTGCTCTGGTTTCCTCCAGGTGCTCCGGTTCCCCTATCACTTAAGACATGTACCAAGTCCGGCATGTGCCTCTTGTTCAGCGACATGACTCCGTTAAAGGATGTCTTACTTACTTACAACGCAAAGAGTAAAGACAAGACAAAAAAAAGGAAGTATTCTTTTTGAATTTGGACACATCCCTTGGTGTAGAAAAGTAGACAGTTCAAAGTCAGGTCATAGCAGTGGTCAGAAGTCAAAGTCTAATTGTCCAAAGTGTTAGTTCCAGGTCACGTCTCTGTATTATTCTGAATTATCTTGATGATAATGTACACATGTTCGTATGAGGAGCAGCGCAGGCAGATGGCCGAAGCCTGCAGCCTTTTCTCTCCTTTTCCCTCTTTCCCTGTTCCCTCACCCCTCCCCTTGCTTTAGCAGTTCAGTTTTCAACATAGACCCAGCTTCATGCCAAACAATGGTGTAAAATGATGTCTGAGAGGGCGACGCACATGCGAAAAGGTCTGCACCTTAAAGAAATGGAAAAATTACCCAGGACATTTAAGAATTTTTTTTTACATTTATGGTCATTGGTTTTCTGCCCCTTGTTAGACCAATGGCTCTATGTGTTATTTAGTATATTTTTCAACTGTGTGATGGGTGGGCAAATTGACAACTTTGTAAATTTAATTAAAATATTAATACTAATTTCTCACACATTCCACACTTCCTCATTTTTCACCACAATGACTAATGAGCACAATAGGCTCTCCATTTTTCAGAGATTACAAGGTTATGTAGGTTCCAAAGGAATTCAGCTCCAATTATGACACCAAGAGCTGATTTTACTACTTACAGGGGAAAATTTAAATATTGTTCAAAAGTCCATTTACTTCTGTAATTTGACCTACAATGTGAAACTAATACATGACAGACTCATTACACGCAAAGTGAAATATATCAAGCTATGTGTTAGAATGTTGATAATTGGCTCACGGCATATGTCACTTGAGTAATGAGTCCATGTCATACTGGTTTCACATTTTAAATTGAAGTATAGTGGTAAATCAAGTTTTGAACAATATTCTAATTTTCCAATACATTTCACCTGTATCTATTTTTGTGTATCAGCAGTCGTTGCGGAGTACTTTACAAAGTCGATGATTCTGATTTTTCTGGTTGAAATATCAGAAAAAAGGAAAGCAAAGTACAATGTGTGGACTTCATTTGAACCAACTCATGCGGTTTTATACAAAATTAAGTCAATATTATGATACATGTTGTACTTGGCTCTCTCCAAAACCTTGAATTCCAATAGTTGGCCTACTGTACATGAGCAGAAGAAAAGATATGCGGTCAATCAAATACTGGTAGAACAGGTGGAGCCGTGCACCTGCATCACAATCTCACTTCCTGCAGATGGAAAGTTAAGAAAATAGCACTTTAAACTTATGACAGATTTCCTGGTTACATACCTAAAGTGGTAAAAAATATAATATTCTAATGGGGTAAATTTATAGACACATATTCAATCTATAATATGTTTATGCAAGACATTTACTTTTAGGAACTTTTTATTGTATTATTATTACTGCACTAAAGGGAAAGTCTTTTGCTGCATCATTACACTTTGGGGACTGCAGTGGAACATTAGCTCCTAAATTGGACATTTTCAGAGATCTAAAAGTATGTGCTTAGTCCTTGTTCAAATAAATATTCAATAAATTAATTTTCCCAGAGCTAGTATTTCTTATACAGTTTTCACTCTTTAACATAGATGTTTGTCAGCACAACAAAAATGTCTACTATTCCACTTTTTTTTTTAAATAATCCCAATACTTCTATACAATGAAGTTATAAGCCATTTGTTTATACAAACATACTACACTGGCACAAATTGTGATAATTGTTGCACGTTAACAGGAACCACAAGGAAGAGCAAAGTTTAGAAAGCCCGTTATAGAGGGTCCTTTACCTGTGCACTTTCACCACAAGGAAATGCAAGGCAAGTTTATTTACGATCTGTGTTATATACAAGACAACTCAAAAGGCTTGACAAAATAATATCAAAATAACATCAACATCACAATGATAATCAACATAAACAAGAGTGAAAATATAATCCTTAAATTGTATGCGCAGCCAGTAGACCTGTTGTCTAATAATCAAAAATAGTTAATAATCCCACATAAAAAATAGTGTGTGAACTTATTAGCCAAATTAAGTATGAGTAGGGAAGTGCTCATGGACAAAGTTTTGCTCCAACTCTGGCCCTTTTTGAATTACATTGAAAAGTTAAACTCCTCTAGCTCAGTGATTGTTCGTGTCACACTAACCATTTTGGGCTTTAAAAATCCTGGGGTTTTATACAGTATGTTATTGACTGTAAATCCAGATATGAGCCATGCTGTATGGAAATTGTCTCCAGCTAGCTTAACGTTCAAATTGGCTTTTTCTGCGTTTAGAAAAACAGTCTACTCCTAATACAGTTTATGTGTGTGAAAACAATGCAGGCAAAAATATGAAACTATTATATAGATTGAACAGGAACCATAAGGAAGTGCATAGTTTGTAATGAACAGGAATGCTTGTGGTGAGAGGGTCCTTTCTTTAGCTCCACCTTTTTACCACCAGACCTGCTGTCTAATAAACCAAAATATTTAAAACGCACATAAAAAAGAGTGTGTAAATAAAAGACAGGCAGATGCCCCAGCGATGCCCGAGATCCCTCGCCGCCCTCTCGGCTCCGCGTGGTAAATATTGTAATGTATTCAGCGGTGTTGTGTTTTTTAAAGCGTTCTTAAAGCAGGTATCTGAGGTGGGCCCCTCCATCTGGACGCTTCATCTGCATTTGACATCCCAAATCTGTTTGCATTTCTAATGTGGAGCCAGAGACAAACGGCCGACCTGCTGCTAATCCATCATCTTCTGTAGAGAGGGAAAGAGGGGAAAAAGAGGAGGAGGAAGAGGAGGAAAGAGCATCTTTCTGTGTTGTAACGCTGCCAGAGACTCCACTGCAAACTTATGCACTCTGTTAGAGAAAAGTGACAATGGGAAAGTTGCTGTTACGGTATTATTACAAAAATATTGATGATTCACCAATCTCAGTCCGTTATGACGACAAAGTAGCAGAAATCACACGAGTGCCAGAACCCAGGACCCTTTCTATAGCAGGACTGTCAAACTCATTTTGGTCAAGGGCCAATCTCCCTGTGGGCTGTCAGTATATCGTGTTTGAAGCTCATCTTTACATCTGTGGATATTTTTAAATGCATTTTTCTATTATGAAGGTATTTTGACCAAAGGATTACTTTGGATATGATTTTAAGAACAAAACCTTTTCAGTTACTGTAAACAACCTGGTTCACACAAACATTTCATCACATACTTCTTACATTTTTAGTATAGTCTTCAATCGCTTCAAGCTTCAGGGCTTCACCTATTGTTTATATTACATACACATTCTGAACAAACTCTTTGTGAACTGTTAATTTCAATTCAATTGAATTGGAGGAGAATCTGTTTAGTTTTAGGAATGGGATTGTTAACATAATTTCACTTGAGAAAACAAAACTTTTGTTTTAAAAACGTGGGATGTCATAGACAGGAGCTTTTACACAGAAGGGGCGGAGTTACATGTTTTTCCCGATATAGTGTGGATGGATCTATAAACAACTCCAGGTCTGTGACTGAAAAGGGAAAAATGTTGAAACGTGGAAAGAAACACGAGAAAAAGTACATCTTGCACCATATATCCCCTTTAACATTTTCTTTGTCTTTTCTCTTGCAGAGGTTGAGCCCCCCAATGGCGGCCTGCTCACTGACTCCCTCCCTCACCACCCGCTGGCCTTACCACCCCACGGCCTCCCACACCTCCCGCACGGCCTACCCCCCCATCTGGAGCCGGCCCTGGCCCACGCCCTGCCACCCGGCCTCCACGATGACCACGACTTGCTGACGTGCGGCCAGTGCCAGCTCACTTTCCCGCTGGCCGACATCCTCGTCTTCATCGAGCACAAGAAGAAGCAGTGCCAGACGCCGCAGATCGCCAACGGATGCTACGACAAGATGGCCGACCGGGGGGGAGGAGGAAGCGGGAGTCCGAACGTGCCGAGCCTTCACCACCACCATCATCAGAGGCTGGAGCTGAAGAAGGTGATGGAGCCCGTGGAGGTGGGCGTCCAGGTCACTCCAGAGGAAGAGGAGCAGACGTTGAGAGGGGGGGAGAGAGGAGAGAGGACGCCGCCCAAAGGGATATGTCCCAAACAGGAGAACGCGCTGGGTGGAGGTAGGCACTTGCACCTATATACATGCAATTATACATACATACACGCATTCAAAAAAGCAAATGCGTCATTAGATAAAGCTGGGGTACCTAACTTTCAAACCAAAAGATTTAGGTATTTAATGACATCTACCGCTCTAATAACAGTGTGGTTCTATCAGTTCTCACATATATTTTTGGCCTCTGTCACATATTTACAGCAGCTTTGACACAAAAAAGAGAGCCCCCTCGATCAGCCAATCAGCTCTCACCCAAATTGTCAAATAATGTCTCACAGGGCTCTTTCTGTGAAGTATACAAAATACCAATTATTTTGTAATAAGTGAATGACAGCATGTTGTCAAATTGGATCACATGAAAACTAGAAGGCAATACACAATCAAAAAATAGTTTTATTTAACGGCGTTTCGGCCATAATAGCCTTATCATTCTTTACTCTTTCTTTGGACCATAATATACAAAACACCAACCCAACACTTTAAACATGTAAGTTAGGTAACCCAGCTTTAATATTGATTATGCGATTTGGAACGGTCAGATATTCATTTATCAAACAAAAAAAATTATCAGAGGTACCCATATTGCACAATCTAATGTCTTCTTTTTTTTTTTTTTTTTTTTTTCAAATCTGAAACACTGACAAACAAAGACAAACTGGGAGATACACACAGGGAATAACGCCGCTTACTACACAACATTGGTGCTAAATTGTCTCTTCTGCAGACATGTATGTTGGGAATCTGCCCCAATATCACAGATAAAAACCAGACAAACTCTCTAGGAACATATACACAATATTCTGAAATGAAATAAGAGTTGTGTGTGTATCCATTGTCTGTAAGCCATAATCCATACAGTCTCTTTGAAAACAGTGATGTTAAATGCCCTCACAGTTAAATATTGTTTGAATGTACAAAAACAACACACACGGACAATAGCCTGTTCGCCTTCGTACAAAAGCTGTTCACAAAGAGAGCAGACGGGAGCTCCCATCGCCCTGAAGGACTGGGTTAAGTTGAAACAAACTGCGCACAAACCAGCTTTAGCCATCTGCTGGAGAAAAAGGTGAAAAAGCCCATTAAAATTCAAGTAAGCGAACGGATTGAGAAAACATGGCGAGACGAGAGGGAGGCCAGTGAATAAAGGGAGAAATTCAACTTGTGTCCATGCTAAAGAGGCAGTTTAGCGGCGGTAGTTATCTCTCAAACCAGTCCAGATATTTGGTGCGGAGAATGGCTGGCAGAATGAAAAGTATTTTGACGAACCTTGCAGGCGTTCAGATATTTTGGAGGTCACAGTAACACTTTGGAGTCGATGATGGGAGGTAGCGGGAAACAAGCAACTCGGGACATGATTTTGACAATAGGAAAAGGCGATGGAGCCGGCCATTTGAAAGGTCCGAAGTAAATCAGTCAATTTCAAGTGTGTTCGTTAAAAAGCCTGAGGAACGATGACATTAATCCACATTAATTATATATTCCCTATTCCTTCCCTATTCTACATAGTGTTGGTTCATTTTCTACTAAACCCGATTTAAATCACATACCAGACAAATCAATGTAGACCTAATACTACTACTGCGACTACCACTACTGCTTCTATTACTACTGCTACCACTACTAATGCTACAACTGCTACTACTACTGCTTCTACTACTGCTGTTGCTGCTCGGCCTACTACTCCTATACCACTACTTCTAGTTGTAGGATTTTCTACTGTACTACTATCACTACTGCTACTACTATTGCTTCTACTCCTGCTTCTGCTCCTGCAACTGGGACTACTTCTACTACTGCTTCTATCCCCTCCACCTCTTCCTACTACTACTACTACTATTACTACATCTACTGCTACTACTACTTCTACTACTATTTCTACTTGTAGATCCAGTTTCCAATATTTGCACCGTAATAAAAGTCTAAAATAGCTATGGTGATTGTGCACAATGCAAGTTATATCTCATCAAATTGGTATATTTGGAAACATAAACATACTTTTAAACTTTAAATTAGTGAATTATGACTTCAGCATGTCCAGGGACCACAGGTACAAACTCGATTGTCCCTAACTCCTTGCATATTTCTGACTTATAATTGAAATATGACTTTGGTTCAATTCAACACATTCAAATACACCACATACTCCCACTAATTCTGCACTCAGCTCTATTACACCTCTTCTGTTATAAGTGCTAATTGATTGCCGTTGTTATTAGCGAGGCATATTTCATATTTATTAGCAGGTATACTTCCTCCCGTTTTAAACACTTGCCATATTTCTGAGTGCGTAACCCTCTCGTGGATTCCTCTGGCTGCATTGAGATTATAATTGCACAATATTTCTTCATAACACAGTCGCGTAATAATTTTCCCATTAAACGCCAAAACATATTAGCGGTTCAATTGGACGTGCACTATGGCAACTGTAAACTATATTGCGGCAATAACGTTTTTATGTCTGAAAATTAGCCTGGGTGCTTTATACTTTTGAAATATGTCCCTGTTAACGACTTTATTAACACAAGAGGGAGGAGGACAGTTTTTTATGCTAGATTAATATGATGTTATACAAAAATACATACATATTTTTACATTTTGGCCTATTGTTAAAACTTGTTGTGTCAATTGGATGTTTGTCTTATTTCAAGCAAGTTTCTGTTCACGTTGCGTTAATAACGTCAAATCCAATAGTCATCAAATATAACCTGTAAAAGATAAGATAAGATAAGATAGACTTTATTGATCTCACACTGGAGATATTTACATGTCACTTTCGGCATAGATAGAATTCAGTCAGATTGTGCAAGCATGTTAAAGGTAAAAAAAAAAAAAATATATATATGTATAGAATAGAAAATATAGAAAATATAGTCTGTGCTGGATATATTATGTACAATAAAAAGTGGAAATTAGGAAAGAGTGCATTTTTTTCAGTCGTAGTGCATTAGTGCATGAGTGACTTAAAATATATATATTTTTTCCTACACTTCTCTCTTCTAATTTTTATAAGAAGAGAGAGAAGATGTCCAAAGTGCTCATGCGTACTTTAGATGACATTTACACAATTGTTCATCGAATACGGCCCTGAAAAAACTTACATTTTGACCTGCTGGGAGCCAATTAAAAAGCCCCTGATCACTTACAGTACAGTACTTGCTCCCCAAAAAGTCCATTTGTAATCCTGCATATATTTTACAACAATACAAAACTGAAACTAGAATTTGCAGAATAGTTTTTGCAGAATAGTTTGAGTCAAATTGCCCATGTGCTCCGTTACAAGTCAGTTCTGTTCTGAGGTTAGCATGCTCTGATCAAAAATACATGTAATCTAATGTAGTCACATCTACAGTTTAAATAATGCAAGTTCGATCGGTTTGCCCAGTCACAAAATTACAAAGAAAGTTACACAGAGCAGCGTTAATTACAACCAAAGCATGTAATAATCTGTGAGATCCACACCAAAACTGACCTATTTGTTTTCTCCATCATAATGTACAACTATCAACATCATCTTCTGTCTCCATGTGCACCAGCTCTATCTGAAAAAAACATCTCGATACAGGACTCTCCCCAGCAATAAATGCTTTCATCTCACACAGCCATATCAGGGAGAAATATTTGCCTTCACATTGCCTAGTGTTTGGCAATAGTTAATCTGCTTGTAGAGGTTACAGCGTGGACTGGGATGTTCCACTGTATCGCATTACTCTAAAACAAGGGGTGAAAAACTCCTTCTAAGCGTCTAGGGGGAAATAATCCCAGTTTCTACCAACCCGACTTGGCCCTACTCTGCTCTACCCTACACAGCACTACTTCCTGATTGTGCTTCCATTATGCTTCAGTATCTGGTCACATATCCTAGCAACCTACCCGCAGCAAACCAGTGTCCAGGGAAATGTCTTGGTAATCATGGCTTCAAAACAGCTCTCTGGCCAATATCTGTCAGTTACAACACTTCAGTACCAGCTTGGCCTGGATAGAACCGGAGAAAAGGAACTAAGAAAGTACCTGGTACCGGTTAAAGAGGGCTTGTTGAAATGCTCCCAATTGTGGCGAGAACCTCAACATGAACCTCAAAGGACTTCACAAAATTGTTGATTGGTTCATAGCTGGTTAGAAAATCAAACAATTAAAACATGAGAAGAAACCAAACTGGTTAATCAATGATGCAAATGGATGAAGGAACTATGAATTCTTAATAAAGTTAGATTTCCTATTTTACATCGATGTGCACATTGTACCTCCATGACAAGATGGTGACTTGGAGTGTACTGGCTCACACAGATACGCACAGATACACACAAGCACACATATACACATTTCCGTTTCATTTTTTCTTTTGCACAGATACACACAAGCACACATATACACATTTCCGTTTCATTTGTTCTTTTGCACTGATCGTAGTCCTGTTAACTCCTCCTGACACCGCTCGCTTCCGCAGTCCTTAAAGCAACCGTGTCAAGCTCTCCTTAATTCACAAACACACACCACACACACACGCACTCACACACACACACTCACACACACACACGCACACACACACACACAGAAAGAGCCAATCCACTAGTTTTAAGTCCATTTATCTAATTTGCCCTAATTTCTTGCTGTTAAAATTTCAATATAGAGCTAAATACAAAATTGTGATAACATGAATTGCAAGACATTTGTAGTTTAATAAAATAAGAACATTATAAAGCTGTATGTCTTTAGGGCAGCTCTATAAAAGGCAGGAAACGGCTTGATCGTTCAGATTAGATTATCCTAACTCAGTGACCTGTTATTTATGATTAATATCCAAATACTCTTTTGCTTTATGTTTTGATTCAAGAATTACAATACATTACTATACAAAAACACACTTTAATCTTGCCATCACAGTATGCATTCAGGCTGCTTTACACACACACACACACACACACACACACACACTGTATCAAAATTATTATTATTATGACTAAACCAGGACGAAGGCACACATTTGCGTAGTTGTTGGAAACATAT